CCCTTCACTAGTGGGCCCTGGGATTCTGTCCTCAGACTCCCTTTCACACTCTCCCTCAGGGCATCTCATCCATTCTCTTGACTTCCGCGCCCACCTCTGTGCTATTCTCTGAGTCTGTAACTCCAACTTCTTCCTCTGCCTTGTGCTCAAGTTCCACCCATCTGGCTGTCTCCTGCATGTTTCCAGTTGGAAATCCCACTGGCATCTTCACACTCTACCTTGTTTATCATCTTTCCTACAGATTTGCTCTTCTCCCTGAGTTATCCGTCTCGGGCAGTGCATTCACCGTTCAGCAGGCCGCCCAAGCTAGACACGGGATTTTGTTGTGGGCCTTGCTGGGAGTGGGAGACCGCTGTGATAACCCAAGAACGATACTGTGAGCCTCCGGGTCTTACTCCTTTTAATCCATTCCCTCAGCCTTACCCAAGTGATGCTTTTAAAATGCGGCACTTGTCATTTTATTCTCGTGCCTAAAATATTGTCAGATATTTTGGATTCTGAATGAAATCTCCAGTCCTTAGCATGCAAGCCCCAGACTGACTTCTCTTTACTTTTCCATCACCCCCAGTCTTATGATCATAATGAACGACTTGGTCATTGCTCAGGTGTGACTTGTTTCTTCACACCTGCAGTGCCTCCTCCTAGAATGCACCTTTCTCCTTTCCTGGCCAAATGTTCTTGTCCTTCAAGGTGGGCCTTTTCTGGGGCATCTTTCCTGACTCCCACCTCCTGGTGCAGGGGACTCCCACTGCACCTTACACTTCCTTTTGTCTTTCTTATTACCTGTTGACACACTGTCTCCCCAGCTGGTGTTCCTCAGGGGTAGGGACTTTGTTCATTCATGCTTGTGTCCCCCGTGCCTGGCACTTAAGAGGGGCTCAGTGAATATATATGGGATAATCTGCCATAGTTTTCTCTACCTACCATTCAGAGTATATTTCTTTCTCTTCCCCTTGTTGTACCCAGTCTTAGACGGGACCCTGTTAAATCCTTTCTACCACCTGGGCTCATTTCCACCCTCAGTACCTGTGCTGTGCCTGGAATGTTCATGTTTCGTTCAGCCTGGAATGTTCATATTATCCCCGTTTTGCTGTCTAAATTCTACCCCTCCATTCAAAGCCCATTTCGTATTCTACTACTTTATGAAGCCTTTTTTGACAGATAAGTGCTTATTCTTTTTTGCTTTCTTCATATTGCTTTTGACTCTATACTTGGTTGTCAGCTTCTTAAGGACAGAGATGGCATCTTGACTTTGTTTTCCCGTCACGACACTCACTTTGTATGCTGTGTACTCCCCGGCATATAGCTGTCTGTTGACATGCAGCCAGCTCTCCCAAGATGAGGCAGAATTTTCTAGCAGCCTGAACTTTCAGGATGGGGCAGCTTTTAAAAATATTTGGACATCTTTGTAAGAAAATGATTTTGTTAAGAGTAATTTTTATTTATCTTGTTATCAGAGTACCAGAGAAGCAGAAATCAAACTGAAAAGTGAAAGCAGAGTTAAACTTTTTTACTTGGACCCAGATGCCCAGGTAAGAACTATATTATATTTAAAATTTAAAACCAACTGAGGGCAAGAAAATCTTTGAAGTGTTTATTTGTTTGCTTTCTTTATTTTGGATTGACAGGCAATATAACAATATAGAACATTTAGGGAAAAGAAAATAAGAACAACCTATAATCTGATCATCATAGCATTACTATTGTGAATATTTGTATGATTGTTGCACATTGAGAGAGATTTATCCAAAGATATCCTCAAGTTCACAAAGAACATATAATTTATCTGTAAAATAACCATTAGAAAATAACAGGTGTCACTGCAGATGCCTGGGAGTCAGTGATAATTTCCAACTAGCTGAGGCTCCATCTCAAATACAAAACCTTCTTTTCCCATTTAATTGTAATAAAATTATTTTTCTATATTTCTTTACAGATCTTATAACCATATGAATGTGTGTGTATATATATATTTTTTTCTTTGCTTTTAGGCAATTTTTACTTATTTTGGTAAAATATACATAACATAAAATTTACCATTTTAACGATTTTTAAGTGTGCAATTTAGTGGCATTGAATACATTCTGATTGTTGTGCAACCATTAACCACTACCCATTTCCAGAACTTTCTCATTTTCCCAAACTGAATGTGTTTACTAAATAATAATGCCCCATTCCTCCTTCCCCCATTCCCTGGTAACCTCTGTTCTGCTCTGTGAACTTGTCTATTTTAGGAACCTCATAAGTGTGGAATCATACAGTATTCGTTCTTTTGTGTCTTGTTTCTGTCACTTAACATACAGTTTTCAAGGCCTATCCCTGTTGTAGCATGTGTCAGGATTTCCTTCCTTTTTATGGCTAAATAATATTCCATCGTGTGCATATACCACATTGTATGTATCCATACACATCTGTTGATGGACACTTGGGTTGTTCATAACTATGGTTTTTAAGGTCTGTATAATCATCTATTGAGTAGGTATATCGTCATTTGCTTGACCATTATATGTAACTATTATAAACTATAGAATTGTACTATTAAAGTAGTAACATTGTTATGAGTAAATGAGTATATATAGCTTTTCCATATTTTAAGCAGTTTCCTCTGGATGCATTTATGATGAGATTTTTTAAAGTAGAAGCATAATATATTTATATATTTACATTTTGTTTTGAAGAAGCTTGACTTCTCATCAGCTGAGCCAGAAGTGAAGCCATTTGAAGAGAAGTTTGGAAAAAGAATTCTTGTCAAGTGCAATGATTTATCTTTCAATTTGCAATGCTGTGTTGCTGAAAATGAAGAAGGACCCACTACAAATGTAATTTTT